ATGAAATGTATTTATTTATTTATTTGGTAAATGTCTTTTATTTGTTTTTCTGGTTGTATCGTGTCAAATGTAAATCATCTGCTTGCAAAGTGTGTTTGTGCATCTTTAAATTAACCACTCTTGTTTTATTATTTTGGATTTAATGCGATGATTTTTAGACATTTTTAAGTTATGCTAAATAATACATGTTGGGGCAACTGTCTAAATTTTTTTTCATTAGCATTGCTTATTTCATTAACTCATCTAATAATGCACAGACAACTTAAAGACTTGTAAAGATTGAAATATTGTATTTTATGTTGTGTTGTTAAGTTGAAATACTCCATTTATAATTATTGCTATTGTTGTTTGTGTTATTATTGTGATTTTTTTTTTGTATGTTGACTTTAAGACAAAATTGTTAATTATTGTAAGCATTGGATTGAAAGGATATTGATTGAACTGACTGAGTGATGCATTTGAATTGTTTTTGCCATTGCTGCTGACATGGTATTAAATCATAAATAAATATTTGCTGATTTGGGATTTATTCTCATCACACTTGGCAAAGAAGTCTTGTGGATGAGCAGGTCACCATGGAAACCAGCTGGTTCCGGAGCGTCTGCTAGTGGCAGTCAGGCCCTCATTAAAGCCTGATGCAGAGACATGATCTGAGTTCAGCTGGACAGTTTCTTCTCCATCGACGGCCAATTAAAAGTAGCCATGGATTCTGATCATTTTTTATTTAATTGTTTTATTTTTTTCAAGCAATACATTAATTGTATATAATTCTTTTTTTTTCTTCCCGTGACTGATTTCTCACACATGCAGTTTCAATCGTTATTTATATTCGTGCATTCAAGTACAGCAATATACAGTAAATACCATTTGAATGTTCACTTGATTATTTTTATTTTTGTTTTTTTAAGTTGAGTAAATAGTCACAAAATCATATTTGGGAGAATTAACAGTTGTCATCGATATCAGCCAACAACAGAGCGTGGTTATAAAGTGTGGTGATACTATTATCTGCTTTCCTATTTCAATAGTATTTGATTTATTATTTATTGTTCTTTAAATATTTTTTATGCTAACTATAAAAATATTGTAATATTTGTTTTAATCCTGTGAATTTAAAATTGTTGACTTATTTTTATTTGATTTATTTCTTATGTGTTTCGTCTTTTTGTCTTGGCTGTTACATTTGATGTTTTGTGTAAATGCTCATTAATGTTTCAAGTGTTGTTTTGTACACTAGCATTAATACACACACAAACAATGTAAACTGAAAGTCTGTCCGTGAACATATGTAAATTGCTGAGGCTTTTTTTCTGCTTCCCATAAATCTGTTTATCTGCTGACCTTGTTGTTTTATTATATTTAATTTCACAGAACAAGGGCAGCAGTAAAACTGATATTTGTTTAAATAAAGCAGCTGATAAGCACATAAAATCAGACGTGGGGTTGAGCTCAAAGAGTGTTAAAAACTGCAGTAACTTTAGGTTCAAGTGAAATATGCAATTATCAATTTTTCATACCGCAGATTAATGTTTCACTTCTAACAGTTATCAGCTTCTGACAGACAGTTACAATGCAACACATTGACTCTTGATGGTTTTGACCTTGCTTTCATGGCTGCTCATTAACCAGTATGAACCGTGTAACATGTAATGTTTGTATTATGGTTATACTTTGAAAACTTAAATAATGGCACAGCTTCTCCAGAAAAAAGCCTTTAATGGTTGGAGGCTTTCAAATATTTAATTATGACTTGTGCAAACGGAAATTAATTGTCCTAATGTCTCTGTGAGTCACAATAACCAGAGGAACAACTGTTTAATTTCAGACTGTACATCCTTCAGTGGTTCCCACAAACTCATGGGAAACTGTTCGGGTCGCCAATTAGATTTCTTTTTTGGGAGAAAGAAAAAAAAATCACACTGGGGAAAGACTTTTTTGTTCAAGTGTTGCAAATCCCACGTCTGACGTTAATATTTCAACATTTGTTTTTAAATGAAGACTGTGGATACAGACTCTGTGTTTAATCAACTGAATTTAATTAAACCATATATATTTGCAAGTTCAAATCCCAAAAGCATAGAGTCTTGGTGGAGTTCAAAAATTAATTCAACAATGCCAGACAAATAAATACACAAGCATTTTAATAATTAAGCACTAGCTCTTAAATGTCCTCCTTATAGAATTCTTAAGCAATAAATAATTCCTTAAGTGTGATTAATAGCATTTTGTCCATCTTGTGTTGAATGTTATTTGTTCTGTGACTAATAAGTATAATGAATTGATTGTGTGTTTGTAATATTTACAATGTTGTGATGGCTTGTCTTACACATGTGCCTTTATAATGGGGTATAATATAATATTTAAATTAATAAATGAAATATCACAGTGACCTGCTGCCTTTTAATTTCTAAAATGCAAAAATTGCCTCAAGTGCACATAAAACATTCATTCATCACAATGCATATGTTCTTAGGAAATAATGAAAATCCTGTTTGTAAAAGCAACTGTGTTTGTAATATTTACAATGTTGTGATGGCTTGTCTTACACATGTGGCTTTATAATGGGGTATAATATAATATTTAAATTAATAAATGAAATATCACAGTGACCTGCTGCCTTTTAATTTCTAAAATGCAAAAATTGCCTCAAGTGCACATAAAACATTCATTCATCACAATGCATATGTTCTTAGGAAATAATGAAAATCCTGTTTGTAAAAGCAACTGAATGTAGTTTTATGGATTTTTGTGACTTTGGCGCTTCCTACCGTTAAGTGAGTGGAATTCAGTCTGGTAAATATATCGCTGTCCTAATCCAGCGGATAGCTGTACACATGCATTTGTTGCTGTGTAAAGCGATCAGCCCTTTTAGCAGAATTTCGGATCTTGTCAACCAACTTACACAATCTCAGAACAGACAGAATGATTTTGAAACTTCGATTTCAAGGTAAAAGCCTTACATACAGTTGCTTTAATGTCTGAACTCTGCTGATGTTTTAGTCCATATTCTCCGCGCTGAGGCTTGATAGCAGAATGTCCTTCATGAAGGGGAAGATGTTATTGATCAGGCAGGTGAAGTAGTGGAACCAGGGGTAGTAGGCCTCTTTCTGACGGGTCGCCCCGGCTTTGATGATGCTCAGAGCGGCTTCACTGGCGGGATAGGCGGTCATCGTGGTGAATCCTCTGCAGAGAGATTTGATAGAGAATACAGTTATGGGGGATTCAGCCAGTTACTACTATGATGCATTTAAAAAACTATATTGACTGTATGACAGTGAAATTAATGCGTTAATGCAAACTGACAAGTAAGTGCTTAGTTGTCATGTAGTAAATATTCAAAAAAAGAAAAAGAAAACTATGGTCCAGACATGTTCCTTTACAGTCAGTCGGTTGTGTCAGTGTGTGTGAAGTTGCTTTAATGTCTGAACTCTGCTGATGTTTTAGTCCATATTCTCCGCGCTGAGGCTTGATAGCAGAATGTCCTTCATGAAGGGGAAGATGTTATTGATCAGGCAGGTGAAGTAGTGGAACCAGGGGTAGTAGGCCTCTTTCTGACGGGTCGCCCCGGCTTTGATGATGCTCAGAGCGGCTTCACTGGCGGGATAGGCGGTCATCGTGGTGAATCCTCTGCAGAGAGATTTGATAGAGAATACAGTTATGGGGGATTCAGCCAGTTACTACTATGATGCATTTAAAAAACTATATTGACTGTATGACAGTGAAATTAATGCGTTAATGCAAACTGACAAGTAAGTGCTTAATTGTCATGTAGTAAATATTCAAAAAAAGAAAAAGAAAACTATGGTCCAGACATGTTCCTTTACAGTCAGTCAGTTGTGTCAGTGTGTGTGAAGTTGCTTGAATGATGAATCATTATCCAGAAGAAGATGAGTGGCGTCTGGTGTCGATAGTTATGTTTAGCACATTGTTCTGTCCACTATAATAGATCACCAAGGTAACAAGATAAATGAGCCTGAGGACAAACTGCAAATGAATTCATAAACCGCTTCCTAAAAATATATTGAGTGATGCACAGAATAGAATGGATCATTGATTGCATTTGAACCGCACTAATGTCCTCGAAAGATCTGGACAGAAAACACTTTGTATCTTTCTTAACATTAGTTAATACAAATACAACTGTTCATTGTTAGTTCATGTTTGCTCAGGTCCATTAAATAATATTAACAGACTTTTGAGGTTAATAGTGTATTAGTAAATGCTAAAATGAACTAAGATTAATAAATGTATTTTTCATTGTCAGTTCATTTTAACCAATGCAGTTAATTAATGTTAACAAATGGAACCTTACTGTGAAGTATTACCAAAAAAAAATGCAAATTGCATGTTATAACCAAAGTGATAATGGCATTTTTTTCTTTGTTTGTAATGTGATCTTTTTTAAACAATTTAGCTAAAATATTTGTTTTTTTAACAAAAATATTCAACAAAACAAAACAGGTTTCACAAAAGACAAGTTACCGCTTCCTAAAAATATATTGAGTGATGCACAGAATAGAATGGATCATTGATTGCATTTGAACCGCACTAATGTCCTCGAAAGATCTGGACAGAAAACACTTTGTATCTTTCTTAACATTAGTTAATACAAATACAACTGTTCATTGTTAGTTCATGTTTGCTCAGGTCCATAAAATAATATTAACATAATTTTGAGGTTAATAGTGTATTAGTAAATGCTAAAATGAACTAAGATTAATAAATGTATTTTTCATTGTCAGTTCATTTTAACCAATGCAGTTAATTAATGTTAACAAATGGAACCTTACTGTGAAGTATTACAAAAAAAAAATGCAAATTGCATGTTATAACCAAAGTGATAATGGCATTTTTTTCTTTGTTTGTAATGTGATCTTTTTTAAACAATTTAGCTAAAATATTTGTTTTTTTAACAAAAATATTCAACAAAAAAAAACAGGTTTCACAAAAGACAAGTTCTTTATAATAA